TGGATGAAGGATGAAAGATGTGAGCGAATAACTGCCTCACTGCTGTACAGGATAGGCATACTGTTAAGGAAGACCGCGTTCATACTTCGCGACTCCAGCAATTCGGTCGTACGACTGCGACTGACCCCGCTCCATAGCTAATTGCTGGACTGCTGCAGAGTTTGAAACAGGGGTTATCTTGACCGTTATTGAATCAGAAGTTGCTGCGGTCCATTAGTGATGAATCGTGGTCAGTCGACGGAGTGACTGGAGTCGCGAAGTGTGAACGCAGCCAGAGCATGGGCCAAGATTCGACTCCCAGCTGAAGCGATTGCTGGTGTTTGGCTCGTTCTTGTGGTGACGCCTAAATCGCGACTGTGGCGGAAACTAGGAGAATTACCGATTCGGATGTTTTTTAGGAACATCGTGAAAAGCTGATCTCATTGAATTTGGTTGGCGACACTGTTGGACTCATCCACAGCATGCGGAACAAGGGTGGCTCGATCCTGATTGAAGGGGCCAACGGTGCCCTTTTGGATATCGATTTCGGTTGGGTGTTTTCTACATTTACTTTCTTCATCAAAATATTCCTATTTTTAAAAGTCGTTATTGTTTAGGAACCTACCCATATGTGACGTCATCGAACGCTACTGTTGGTGGAGCTTGCACTGGTCTTGGAATTCCCCCCACTGCCATTTCCCAGGTCGGTTAGGGCTATTTCTAAGGTATTCGAGGTACTAAAACATTTTCCTCTATGTTTAGGTCTTTGGAGTTGTGAAAGCATATCAAACACGAGTAGGTACTGGTCCTTTCCCCACAGAGCTAAAAGACGAAACCGGAGATCTTCTGCAGTCTATTGGAAAAGAAGTAGGAGTCACCACTGGGAGAAGAAGGAGGTCAGTTTTTCGAGGCAGTGGGCACGATCGCTGGGGGCGTGCGGTTGTCGCCAGTGTTATTGGTGCAAGGGCTAAGTGGGGTGTGGCCGAACGATCACACGCAGCCGTTCCAGTAATGACGCTGGCAACA